CGGTCGATAACGCAGCTGCTGCACCGAGCCCTCGGCCCCGACGACAACAACAACGACAACAATAACAACAACAACAGACTCCCCCACGCCGCCGAGTCTTTTGTCAGCGGCGCCGCCGCCGGCGCAGCCGCCACCGCGACTACGTATCCGCTGGACCTGCTGCGCACGCGGTTCGCCGCCCAGGGCAACGACCGCGTGTACGCGTCGCTGTGGCGGGCCGTGCGCGACATCCGCCGCGACGAAGGGGCGCGCGGGTTCTTTCGCGGGCTGCCGCCCGCGCTGACGTCGATCGTGCCGTCTATGGGGCTGTTCTTCGCCGTGTACGAGGGCGCGCGCGCGCCGCTGAGCCGGCTGGAGCTTCCGGGGGGCATGGGCGACGCGACGGCGGGCGTGGCGGCGAGCGTGGTGGCGAAGACGGGCGTGTTTCCGCTCGATCTCGTGCGCAAGCGGATCCAGGTGCAGGGGCCGACGCGCAGCCGGTACGTGCACAAGAATATACCGGAGTACAAGGGGGCCGTGAGTGGCGTGCGGGCGATACTGGCAAGGGAGGGCGTTAGGGGGTTGTATCGCGGGTTGACGGTCAGCTTGTTCAAGGCGGCGCCTGCGAGCGCGGTTACCATGTGGACGTACGAGCGGGTGTTGAATTTTCTGAGGGAGAGGGAGGTGTTGAAGGGTGAGGCTGAGAGAAGTAGCGTCTGATATATTGATACCATGGAGTGAAAAGAGAAGAGTAGGCATTGGACATAGGATAGGATGGGATAAGAGGAATGCACATAGATGGGCGGGTTTTTCGTTAGCCAAAAGCATTGGGATGGATAGATACCGAAGCATTGTATTGCGCGGCTTGTATATGATAGATTCGTCGGCTCGTAAGAAGCCAATATCTTATGATTGCCTGGTTAAAGACATAAAGCATGCGTTGATATTCAATCTGAATTCAACATAAACTTGCAACTTTGATCTGGGGAATTTTGTGGTGGTTAGAACGGTAGACTTAAACTAGGTACCAATTACGATATCAAAACCATGCAATATCAATTATGTATAGACAATCGTTCCCATTACTTAGCGCCGTTTCCTTTGCTTCAACAAAGAGAATTCTGGTCTATTCATCTATGGTACAAGGTGGCCCTCCCTAGAAAGTAGCCCCCCCCTTTCTATTTATTTCCCCTTTTTCACCCAGCCCTCGACCAGGTCCCGGGCATCGCTGACCTTGTCATCGACGTAGTTCTTGCCGACGTCCACGTGGACCCTGGCGAAGCTCCAGGCATCTTGAATGCTCTTCCGCGTCTGCAGGTGGGCGTCGGCGACGGCGGGGAACCGCCTCTCGTAGCGCCACAGCAGGTCCGACACGTTGTTCATGGTGACGGGGATCAGCAGCCAGCCGACGCCGACGCCGAAGGCCAGCGGGACCGAGGCCCGCAGCAGCACGCTCCGGTTCCGCGTCAGGATGCTGCCGGCCATCGAGGCCACCAGCACGTACACTAGCCCGGGCATCAGCTTCTCGCCGCTCTCGCGCGAGGGCGCGAGCGAGGCCACGGTCGAGGTGAAGGACTGCTCGAGGTGGAAGGCCGAGTCGATGGTGCTGTTGACGGCGTCTTCGGTCGCCCTGGCGTACCGGTACAGGAACAGCCGGGCCTTGCCTATCTCCACCGCTAGCCTGTCTGTCGGCGTCGGGCCGTGGGGCTTGTGTGTCGGTTCTGAGGGAGCGGATGTAGGTGGTATGGTATCGGAGGTTGGGGACGGGACGGGCGTGTTGATGGTCTTAGGAGTTAGGAAGGGTTCGTAGTCGTCGTATATGGGCTTCTTAGAAGGCTGTCCATGTATGGGGTTAGTGGAGAGTAGCTCGTAAAGGGTCAAGGCGAGGATGTCCGTACGTAGTCGTGTGATGGTGCTTCAGCCAACGCTACCGAGGGAATTAAAGCTCCTCCGACCAGAGTCGCAGCCATGAAAGGCGCGGCGACACGCTGTTTATCCAATTTATTAGTGTTATGGTAGCTTTGCTATGTATTGAGAAGGAGTATTCACCCGTCGCAGCAGCACTCTCGCAGCCATGTTGCGCTCAATTGATTGATGATGGGAATTGAAAAGTTGGTAGCTTCAAAAAGTTCCGGATGAGTGCAACGATGATGTACGTACTTCCAAGGTTGGACCCGTACCTACATGTAGTACCTTTTTTCGCGGCCAATCCCGGACCGGGGACCGGGGAACCTTCGGCGAAATTTCGTACCACTTCCAATTGATGATCCCCAGCCGTTGCTTCCCTTGATAATGGACAATTAAAATTAAATGCTTCTATGATTTCTTCACACTTCCTTCATGTGAATATCTACTTGCACTTGCATCAAGTTGCATCTTTTGTTCTAGAGCTTCTAATGTTGCGTCATGAACAACAATATTCGTCCAGGTCTTTGGACCTGCTCAAGATGTCTTCGACAAGCTTCCCGAGCTAGAGGCCAATCAAGGCGGTGGCTTTCTGCGCCCAGTGCTGCTCAACTCGATAAATCGCACATACCGGTCGACCATTCCCCTACCGATTTGAAACACGACGATAAACTGTTGCGCCAGATCTTCGATTCCTCTCCCACCTTTAAAGACTTTGCGAAACCCCTCTTGAAGATCGGAAGCCGCGAAAATGTCGGGTTATTCAGGAACAAGTACCTGACCTCGCCGCAAGGGTTCCTAACGTTCGCGAACGTAACGATACATAGGGCCCAGAGGCTGGTTGATAAGGTGCTCAATGCGTCAACGTTGGAGGATTACAAAGCCGTCGTTCGAGACCTGGACAGGCTGAGCGATCTACTATGTCGTGTCCTGGACGTTTCCGACTTCGTGCGAGTTACGCATCCCGACAAAAAGACACAGGCGGCTGCATCGGAGGCGTGGTCCCTGGTTTATCAATATATGAACCAATTGAACACAGAGACAGGTCTAAGCGACCAGCTGGGAAAGGCTCTGGCTAATCCAGATGTGATGGCCAGCTGGAACGAGGAGGAGCAGACCGTTGCGAAGTTACTGCAACAAGATTTCATGAAGTCTGCAATACATCTTCCGAAGGAGTCGCGAGATCAATTTGTGGACATATCGCAGCATATCAGCGAATTAGGTACGTACTTCATCCAAGGAATGCAGTCCGAACAGAGGTATCTCGAATTCCCGAGCAGTAAGCTATATGGCATGAATCCACAAATAGCCCGGAGGCACACCCGAGGAGGTACAATTCGCCTACCAACCCTGTCTGCTGAGGCGACAGTTGCGTTGAGGACTGTCCATGACGAAGATACAAGGAAGGCAATATACTATGCGACTCGAACGGCCTCCAGCAGAACCATCCAGGTCTTGGAGGCTATGTTAAAGTCGCGCGCTGAGCTTGCAAAGCTATCAGGCTTTGAGAGTTACAGTCAGATGGCTCTTCATGATAAGATGATGGCCAAGACCCCAGAGTCGGTTCATCAGTTCCTTCTAGCACAGTCTAAACACAATGCGCCATTTGTCGAGGACGAGGTCGCTGGCCTTCTCAAGGAGAAGACTAAAAACCAGCAAAACGTTACAAGTGAGCTTCAGCCATGGGATAGAGATTACTATATGGAGAGCATTCGCTCATCTATGAGATCGACGCGACGCAACGACGATTTCTTATCGGCCTATTTCTCACTCGGGACGGTCATGCAAGGTCTATCACGGCTGTTCAGCCGTTTATATGGGATCCGATTTGTTCCTCGAGATACCCTACCGGGAGAGACATGGCATCCGGATGTAAGACGATTAGATGTCGTATCTGATACCGATGGGCACGTGGCAGTCCTTTATTGCGATCTCTTTTTCCGAGATGATAAAGCTCCCAATCCAGCACATTTCACGGTGCGCTGCTCTAGGGAGATATCGGAGAACGAGATTCAGGAAGCGGCAGTGCGAAACGTAGCTGAACTTGACGGGCCACCCAGATTCGAGTCGCCCATCGAAGCAGCAAATGACGGGATGCATGTATCCCAGCAGTCTGGCTCTATCAAACAGCTGCCAACAATCGCACTAGTGTGCGACTTCGAGGAGAAACAGGGGCATAATAAACCCGCTCTCCTAGATTATTATCAAATGGAAACGCTGTTTCACGAGATGGGACATGCTATCCACTCGATTCTAGCTCGGACTTCTCTGCAGAATGTGGCTGGCACTCGATGCGCCACTGACTTTGCGGAGTTACCGTCTACCCTGATGGAACATTTCTGCGCCGACCCATCTGTCCTTGGCTTATTCGCGAGACACCACGCTACAGATGAGCCACTGCCGTATGAGATGGTTGTCGATAAGCTTCGCGTCGCTAGAAGGTTCGAAGCTTCCGACAGGGAGAATCAGATCATATTAGCCATGTTAGACCAGCAGTACCATTCACCCCTCGTAAACCAGGACAGCTTTGACTCGACGGAGGTATACCAAAGCCTTCAGAGGCAATTCGGGAAGCTTCCACCGGATCCGAGGGGAACTAGATGGCAAGGCTTCTTCGGTCATCTATTCGGTTACGGTAGTACGTACTACAGTTACCTCTTTGACCAAGTGCTCTCGAGGCGCATGTGGCAGATCGTCTTCTCGGCGGGGCAGAACGGGGCAGCTCTCGACCGAGCAAATGGCGAGAGGCTCAAGGAGAACCTGCTCAAATGGGGAGGAAGCCGAGACCCCTGGAGATGTCTCTCGGATGCGCTACAGGACGAGCGTCTTATAGACGGGGATGAGAAGGCCATGAGACTGGTGGGGAGCTGGGTTGATAAGGACAACAGCTCCCGTGGCTGATGCGTTGGCCATGATGTATATAAACGCGCTGATGGGCAAAGCGTATATAGAATTTAATATCCCGATTGAATATATTCGATATCCGTGAATAGAGTCTACTCCTCTCCGTTAGTATTGCCTTGCCTGTTCGTCGGCTTCTGCGGGACTATGACGTATCTAGCTCTATATTCAAATCAGGTCAACAATCTCACCTAATTCATGAATTGGAAAAAAAGTAGCACCTCCCCGTATCGATCAGGGTACCTCCGAATCTCTCCATCGAGAATACGGCGCGCTTCCATCGCGCTAAGGTGCTCTCCATGGTATGGGGGTTCATACGGTGTGTTGGAGTGAATCTCAATCTCATCCTATATTGTACGCAGATGTTTCGAGTCACAGTTGGTAGTATCTAGACAGCTAGCACTGCCCTAAGAGGTATCGCTTCACTTATATCTGCGATACCCCTGGCTGTTTGTGTAGAAGCAACATTGCGTAGGTCATTACTAGCCTAGCTAACTAGTCAGATTTGACTGTAGGTAGGTAGACATCTGCCACCTTGATCGTCTTCCTAGTCGAGGAGCAAAACACGTATATCTACCTCCTACTCCAAGATCTCGTGTTAGGATGAGAGATATCTAATACTGGATGGACCTTGGGTACATAGCAACCGTCATTTATCTCGACTCCTAGCTCTGCGATACGGATGAGCAAGTATGTTCGGACGATATCAAGAGCAAATGCGCTCATGACATGCGGAAAAATTGGAACATTATCTAGCCGCCCATTAACATCACGCTCTCGCATTCCCCTCATTACTTCTGAGACAATATTTCTATTTCTGGTCAGACGAGTTGAAATGGTATGGTTTGACTTCTGTCTTTGTGTCGGGTGAACAAAGAAAAAGTCAACCTCCAACCAGACCGACGACCAGTCCGGAAACAAACCGCAGGCATGTACGTGCCAGTCCCCAACGTCCACGCGTCACCTTCTTTGTTTTTTTCAGGTCTATCCGGGTAGAAGGCGAGAAAAAATTCTAGACTTGTGAAAACTCAATTCTACCTTAGGAGGTACGTATATAGCTTCGACCAATTCGACCAACATATATCCTAGGACCTAAGCGAAGCTTTAAGCGAATAAGAGAAAGAACCCAATCCTCAATGCTGCGACGGCATGGCTTCTCGTCATGATCCAGATCCAAAGCTAGAAGTCGATGTGGGCAGTAGGAGTAGTAGTGGTACTCGAGCGGAAACGATGGCGTCCAAGTCGGCACAATACGGCTACCAGCAACAGCAGCAACAACAACAATATCCGCCACCGCAGGCTCTCCCGGACTACGTGAACAGAGCTCTTCCGCCGCGGCCGCGCACGGCGTCGAATGCTTCGTCGATATACGACTCTTCCCCCGGCGAGGGCAGCAGCGCTCAATGGCCGGTGATGAAGTCAATGCCAATGAGCGGCCAGCCACCCGTGGTCACAGAAGAAGACGAGGAACAACACACCAGCCCTACGAGCGCGGGCGTCCTGGACCAAGCCGGGCTCGCTCTGGTCCAGCCGCTGCACCCGGCGCTCGTATCAACACCGCCACAGCCTGGAAAAGAGATTGCTGCTCCGCAGCCGAGATACCCGGCGTCCAAGGTCCTCGAAGTGAAGAACTTCGTCGTCAGTCCGGTCTCGGCTGCGTTACCCGTAAACGACGGCGGCAGTAACGGCAGCCACGACGAGGTGTCGCCCGTGTCCCCGGCCGACTCGCGGCGTAGTCTGCACTCCCGGATCTCCGCGTCGACTAGCAGACCCACCAGTCCGACGGCGGCGACCCAGACTCAGCAGGATCAGAACGCTTCATCCCTGCACCGCACGCCGACGGATAAATCAGACCGCCGACGCGCCGTGTACAAGGGGTACCGCACGACGCACTCGGAGGACCCAGCGACGGCCGCGGGTTCGGGTTCGGGTTCGCCGCGGTCGCCGCACTACCAGGTCCACCAGATCAACGACCGGTACAGCGACCCGGGAAGCCCCATCACCGGCGCCGTGCTGCACCCGCCGACGTCGTTTCCCTCGGACCCGAGCCTGCGGTCCTCGCGGCAGCTGAGCGAGGCGAGGCAGCGGCAGCAGTCGGCGTCACAGGACTCGGTATCCCACGCCAAAACCAAAACCAAAACCAACATCCATAGCTGTAACGAAAATCCGGAGACTACTAGTCCCCCCGGTAGTACAGGGGCCAAGTTGGCCCCTGTTGCTAGTGTAGGCAGTAGCAACGGCTCCCAGCGCGTCGCGTTCGCGGGCCTGCAGCGCAGCGACTCGGGGTTTGCGGCGAGGCCGCGCGCGGGGAGTAAGAGGGGAGCGCCGCCGCCGCCGCCGCTAAAGCTAAGCGAGAGGCCGCTTGCGGGTGGGTACGTGAAGACGCCGTTTCCGGATTTGAATCTTGGTGGGGTGGGGGATGAAGATGTAGATGGAGATGGAGATGTAGATAAGGGAGGGGCGAAGGGGACGAAGGGGAAGAAGGGGGAAGAAAAGGGGAAGGAAAGGGATAAAGGGGGAGAGGGGCAGCCGAGGAGTAGGTTCTCGCATGGACGAGAGAGCAGTTCGTTGGATTTAGGGAGGAGGTGGATGGGGATAGGGATAGGGATAGGGAAGGATAAGGAAAAGGAGAAAGAGGGCGAGACTCCGAATAGCGCTAAGAGACGGAATCGTGTGTCGAGTCTCCCCGGTCTCGGGTTCTTACGGTCGGGCCCGCTGAGCGGCAATAAACTCGATAAAGAAGCAAAAGAAGGAAATAAGGAAACACCACAGGCCGCTGCCGCTGCCGCAGTACCGATGCCAAGCGAAGTGCGATCAGGCTACGTAGAGTCGACGCGCACCGGAACACGGCCGTCGCGCACACCGTCCGTGTCCAAGGTCAAGAATATTCTATCGAAAGCGAAGCAAATTGGGTTGAATCACGGTCTGGGGATGAGTACTATGCTAAGCTCCGAAGAGACGAAGAAGGAGAGGAGGAGGGCGGAGATGAAGAAGCAGATTCGCGTTGAGCATGCGAGGCCGGCTTAGTGAAGGAGTTATCTATACAGGAGCTGGTGTCGTAGATGCCGAGCTGAGTCGAGCTATGCTCATATTGACATGGGATAAATGATTCAATTTACTCTATTCCGAAAGCTTGTGCCTAGCTCCGCTGAGTTACAAAGGAGGTAGATGAGTATGAGAATAATTCTAGTTAATATGGAACGATATTCTAACCCCTATTTTCTTCAGGTAGTGAGTGACGTCGTGTAGATTTCCATCTACGCTTCCACTCTCATCCGTGCGATCTTCCTTCCTTTATTCTCTTATACTCTCCCTTGCTACCGACGTAGCGATACATCTAGGTTTGGCTTCACGATCAGTCAATGTCTCTATTACAGAGCAAATTAGATGTCAATATATTTGGTATTTGGCTTCTTCGGGTAAGCAACTTTTCCATTGCCATTTAGGATCAAACTATTTCTAATTTACTAACTAGTAAATTAGAAAAAGTTGGGTGTAAGAAACAACGCTTCTAGCTAGAGTGACTCGGCGTAGTGGTTCAACGCACTGAGTGGTTCCTCACTTAGGTCGATTCCCGCGGTCACCAGATCATGTTTTCTTTTTCACACACTCTCTCTCAACTCAGTGTGAAACTCACAAAGATAGCAAGAGCTCAAAAAATTTCCATCCTGCTTTGGGGACCTAGTGATAGGACTTTCTCGGCGTCTTGTTCAATTTCACACATTTTACCGATTTTAATTGCAAGAGCTCCATGCGTGATGCTTACAATTCTTGCCATATGCACTGCTCCCTGCATCGATGATGAAGTTGTCCGTGTTCTTACATTCACGGCATGTGCGTGGGGTGCTTCTAGGACTTGTTAGGTTGCTATAACGTATCTCTAAACTTAAGTTGAGCAAGTTTTTCTTGCATTATATAAGTATCATGCCTACCTAGGTATCTATCTACTCTTCTTTTCTACTCTTCTTTTCTACTCTTCTTTTCTACCTGCTCTTCTTTACTATGTATTTCCCAGATCACTGCTATGATTTCAACCGCTTTAGAATCGCCATTCTTTTGCATCGAGGCTTATAATGACGCAGTCAGTATGAAGAGACTCTGCAAAACGAATTAACATCAATCTTTAAGCTTCTTAATTAAGCGTAGCGGAACAGCGCAACTTGTGACCTTTGGACGGGATAATACCGCTCTTAACTATTATAACCAGGTCTTTAGGTAGCGGTCATCATTCTTATCGAAAGGAAGATCAAAAAGTTGTCATGCTTGTGAGTTTGAATTCGTTCTTTTCTCGGTAATCGGCTACTGTCTTGAACAAGTAAGGAAGGTGCTACATACACTATGGGGCTTCTACACTTATACAACAACATATCCTTACTAAACCAATCTACCTTTTTTGGTGATCGAACCCAGGCTCTTGCAAAGCGCCTCCGTGGTGATTAGACGACGTATATTATGACCTTCTGATTCAATAATCAAATGCTCATCTTTTGGACGATAAGATACACGAAAAACCACCTCTTGCACCTACTCAAAATCGTCAGCCACGAGGCCCTCGTTCACACCTACGATGCCTACACCTAAGCCTTACGCTGCAAACCCTATCCAACACTAGGATATACTGAAAGCCTCCTCGTTGTCATTTACGTCTTCGATTAAGTCCTAGGTACAGAGATTACTCGTTATACTGCCCCAAATACGTACTACGTCCAACGAAATTATTACTGTTGCTCCAATGGTATTTTGGTGGCCAGTCACTTGTGTGCAGAGCCCGGGTGGTCTCAAGAAAGATATACACCAAACAAGGTATTTATTATACAGGAGTACCTTGAGATTGAATGGTATTTGAAGAGAACCTGTTGCTCGTGGATTACTGAAGCTATCACCGGTCAGGGACAACCTCTTGTCTGTCCGTACTAGATGGAAGGTACAAGCAAGGAAGGTGCTACATACCTAGGTAGGTACCTAACGTTATCAGTCGATTCGGCCAAGATTCATACGACTACTAGGACTCTAGCACGTAATCTTGTCAGCGCAACGCATTCGCACTTCTTTCAATCTGGAAGAAGTGATCCACCACATCGCATCAATTCGTCCTCACCCCTCCTTCCGAAACGAAACTCTACGTAGATGTCATGCGCCGATGATGCCCTAATGAAGATCGGAAATTCCAGATTTGCATCCACTCCCACATAACTCGAACTTTTGCCACATCCTCATGTACTCGAGGCATTACGAATCAACAGCGACGCCCAGGCATTATTTGGCATCTTCCCTTCGACTCTCGCTAAAAGAATA